GTCGCCGCCCACTCGGGGGAACCGTGACCCAAGCGGCGCTGGGGCTCGAGGTTTCTTTTGCCGTTGTTGGGTCGACTTTTTTGTTTGTTTGGTTTTTTTAATTGTAATTCGTTGTTGTTGCTCGTGCGTGTTGGAACAGAGCCCTAACTCAGGAAGAGTGGGATTTGAGAAATGTTAGCGTTCGTCACGGCATTAAAACGCAGTTTTTGCTCGACCACCGGTTTTATCACAAAGCTATAAAAACGGAAATACGTGGAACTTCGCGTTGTCGTATGCAGCGCTGGAGCGCACGCAACTTTCTGTGCTTGCGGGTCGCAAGCGTGTGGTAAAGGTTGCTTTGAAAATTGAAGTATGAAGCTGTCCACAGTCCTATTGTTTTGCTGTTGGCTGTGCGGTCACTGCTGGCTTTTAAGCAACACCGTGGAAGGCAAGCTTTCCGGTGTTTGCAGGCTAATGGACCGTAGGCCATATTTAAAATAAGGACTTGTGAGAAAGGTGGTCGGTTTTGACCTGTCTGGCTCAGCATAGGGAGGTTGTAGAATACTGTATGTCACATCATCAGATTGATAGCATGAACAAAATTTTCTGGAAATGGGTTTAATTTCCTAATCTTACTAAGAAAAAATAAGTAGTTTCTGAAAATAAAAGATCATATTTTTAGTCCTATGATGTAAAGCTTCATGGAAAGATAAGGATATTGTAAATAGCTGTCATTAAAATGCTATACAAAAGCTACATAACTGTGTGAACAGGCTAATCCCTTAAATGCAATTGCTGTCTTTTGTAGGAGAAAACTGACATAGAAGGGACCTTATTTGTGTACAAAAGGTAAGGGGGTGGGGGGGTGGGGGAAGAGAGTTCTTAATTTTCCTTCCTTAAGAGAACAAACCTCAGGTGGCTTCACCTATAACTTTCATACTGGATTTACTGCATTCAGTAAACTTCTTTGTTTGGCTGGCGATGTCTGTATACTCATTTGAAAAGAATAAACTGCACATGGGTGAATAACTCTGTCAGAAGTGCCTAAAAGTACTGCTGAAAAATCATGAAACTTGATGAACACTGCGTATGTACCACACAGAAATCTAGTTTTTAGAGCTTATTTTGCTAATCCAATAGCGTTAGATAATGTATTGAGTTTGTTAAATGCTGAGTCTTCCTTTGTCTCCTAAAATCCATAAAAGTTGATTATGAAAACAATGCAGATGACAAATTAAATAATCTGTGCTAACTCACTGTCGGGACACAGCAGAAATTTTTGTAAATGGACAAAGTCATCTAAAAGCTGGATATCTATTAGTGTGTAGTTTTGGGGGCTACTTGATTTCCTCATCAAACCCATGAAAGAAATTTCCAATTATATGGGATGGCAGAAGGCGACAGGGGGGAAAACCAGGACATAAAACCAATCATGGATTTAAGTTTTTAAATTACAGACAAATCAAAAATCTTAACAATGGAGTATACCATTCTGTTGAATGTAAGAAATACAAACGATGTAGACTTAACATGTTGTGAAACAGACTGTCGTAGACTAGGTCATTACAATATTTTATCCTGGCACTGTGAAGGGATACTAGTAACCAGTTCCTGTCTGCTTTACTTCAGATCCACGCTTGGAAATACATAGTTGTAAGAAAGCCAACCAAACTAAAAACCAACAAACTAAGCAAAAGGTTTCTGCATGACCAGCTGATTATTTCAGAGAAGTTCTGTTAGGTGCATTAAAAGACTGACTCGTGATGTTAAGGATTGCTTGCCCCCTCCTTAGAAGGTCGTGACAGATTTTGCTGTTGATCATTCGGTAAAGGTGGCCACATTGTTACAGACACCTTAACATTTACTAGCTGATCATATCTGACTTTTACCCTGCCTTCATCATGCTGCTTTGTTGATTATATGACTGCTCACAGGCACAGTTGAGTGTGCTGACATGGCATTCATGTAGCAAGAGAAAACAGATCTAAAACTATCTTGAACTTCCAGTGCTTGCTTGCTTGATGTTTTCTTTTCCTACATGGTGTCTAGCAAAAATCTAGATAGTAAAAATTGCTCCATTAAGCAGTATAGTTCTGAATAAACTAATATCTACTTTGAGGTCACTGGGTTAAGTCTTTATTTTAAGAGTTTCCCTTTAGGAAGAAATTACTGCTTATGATTACCCTCTAAGTGTATTTCATGTTATTTAAGCTAACAGCTTTATTTATTGTCATAACTATTTACAGCAAGGTAAATGTTGCTATGGAAGTGGTTTGTTTTCCCTCCTCTAATAAAAGATTCTAAAATGCCTCAAAACTATCTTATGTGATGTACTGAATACACTTGCATTTTAATCCTGGACCTGCCCTACTTTTTTTCAATTGATCTTTATTTTTTGAGGCATATCTTTGATTCAGCAGTTTAGCAGTGTAGAACTGTAATGTAAATCCTACTTTGAGGTAAGTGTAGTTTTAAATTGAAATTAGTTGGCATGCCAAGAAATGGCATAGAAGAACTATGAGCTTCAGGACTGTTAAAACTTCACCTAATAAAGCAATGGAGATTTGAAGATTAATTCATAACTCTATTTCATAAAATTTATACATTGATCAAGGTATTAATCCTTGGTTTTGTTTTAATTCAAACAATAGGTCAGCTTCTCCTTATCATGGTTTTACGATAGTGAATCGACTGAACATGCACAACCTGGTTGAGCCAGTAAATAAAGATTTGGAATTTCAGCTCCATGAACCTTTTCTTCTTTACAGAAATGCTAGCTGTGAGTACTACTTTTTTAATCCATATAACCTTCTTGTTCTGTTTTATAATCTGGACCACTTCTGATTACTGTGATGTCTGTTTCAAGTATAATGTAATGGAGCAGGTTCCAATGAAATGTCTGATGATGTTTTCTGTTTGCAGTGCTAGATTTACTTAAATAGCTGTGCTGTTGTATTATGATGATCACCTGCTTTCAATAAGAAGAGGATATACTAAAGTTCAATATTGCTATATTCTTTTTAATTGATGATCTGATAGCTTTAATCTAAACATATACACAGTGCTATAGCATAATAAAAAACCCTATGAAATAATAGTGAAGATTGATAGATTTTGAAAGTTTTTAACACCAAGAACAGTTCTAAGGGCTTCATTTTTTGCAATCGAAAAATTAAATATTAATCAGTAGCTGCTTGAAGAAGTTGAGAAAATTGCTCAGCTCTAGGCTGAAGGAAGGTTTGGAAGGAAGAGGAGCTGTGGGGATGGTGGTAGGGGTAGGAGGCTGATGAGGTGGCAGTAGAGGAAAGAATTTCAATTGTGAGATTGATGACGTATGGGAAGCAGGAAGTTGCTTCATTTGTTTGTTGGAACTGCTGATGGTATCAGGAAGCAGGAGCTGCTGTGGAATTGCCATGGTTTATGCTAGTGGGAGTGACTAGGAGATCACTTAAAGGAAGCAATCAGAGAAGGTAGGCTCTGTGTGAGTTCATTAGAAACCCCTAAAGTTAATTATATGCCTTTCTCTCATTGATAAAAGCTCTCCTTTTCCTATGGGACACTATTGTTTAAGATCTGTGGGAGGCTCATGGGAGTTAGGATAGAGATGACACAGAAAAGTATGAGGAAGGAAGAAATTCATACAAAGGTGAGCAAGGAAAATACTATGAACTGAGGAAATTATGGGAAATAATTGCATTCTGAAGTAACCAAGAGTGTCTGGTTTTTTTGTCTTATATCTTTCCCATTGTAATTTTACAAGACTTTGGTCAGAAACTATTCTTCATATAGTCACTCTGTCCTGTCTCCTGGAGGAGCATGGTAGCATGTCCAGAAACAGTCTACACTGATTGCAAATTGAAAATGTTCAGTGTAGTTGGTATATCATTAGTTATTTCCCGAGTGCCGCAACTAAGCAGCAGATCAGTTATTGTGTGCTCTGCTAGTGTTCACTTTGTTCAAATACAAGCATAAAAGCATAGAAAACAGCACCTAAGCTTTTTATTCCTTATGATTTCAGCACAGCTAACTCCCTTACATTTTGCATTTAGTTGTGTTTTGGATTGTCTTCCTTACATGCAGTTTCCCAAATTCTCTGACCTCTGTCTCCTGAATTTGGGGGAAAACCCCAAATTATATGATTTAAATGTTCAGTGTTAAAGCTGGTTGCCTATGTCTGCATAGTATTTGTGAAACTTTAAAAAAAAAACAATTAAAAGATTCCTTCAGGACTGATTTGGATTTGCAGACAAATTTCGACATGTGTATGTTTTATTTGTGTGGGTAGATTAGGGGATTCTTTTCCAAGTTCTTTTCATGTGGTGGGGTGTCCACTTCTACTCAGCTGCCTGCTGGCTTGAAAAACCTTTGCATTTTGGGGACTAATTCAAATAGGACTTTTAAGCCAGTGGTTAATGTAATGTGTATCTCCAAGGGCTCAATGTGGTGTCTCTCTAATGGCTTAATGTCAAGTTCTTCTGAGATCCTTTTATGACTGAAAGAGGACTGGCTGCTAGGTTGTGCAAGGAAAAAACTACGTCCTATACAGGCAACAGCCCTGTTTCTTGTGGAGTGGGGCTGCGCTTTTTTGTATCCTGCTCAAGGAAAGCTACTGCAATCATTAGAAACTCTTAAGAGTAAGTTCTCCTGCGAAGATTGCTGAATGATTGAACTGATGATTCTGTTTTCTTAGCTTACAGATAGGGAATGGTTCAGGCTACCTGATAAAAACCTAAAATCATGTTTATTAATACTGCTGTTCGGCAGAGACAAATGTATTTTGTGCCTGTATATCTAGGTTGTAATAGGATCAATGACAAATTGTGGCTTATGCTTCCAGAGGGCATGGTAGAAATAGTAGATGATGATCAAAGCAAAATTATGCCACCACATATTTGGGGAAGGTTCCATGTCAGCAATCTTTATAGCTGAATGTGATACTGCTGTTGTATAAACTTCATGTTTTCACTTTGTTCTGTGATTCTGTCTTGACTTAAGAAGGTAATAAGGGTAAAGTCTGTTATGTATACCAGATCAGACCTCTGGCATTTCTGTCTTAAATGGCATGAGAGCTGTTCTGAGTGTATCAAGTGACATACTCCAGTCTATGCAGAGCTGCTAACAAGGTATATGAGAAATTTTGCAAGCAGTATATAAACATTATTTTTTGCTTGGCTGGAGGCAGTAAGAATAATTTCCCTGTCATGCTGGATCATAATATTTTTGGTAGGCTTTACCATTCTTTTGTGGTTTGATTTGTTCAAATACTTATTTTTAATATACAATGGAATTTTTACTTTGCATATCTGAACTTACTTTTTGTTAAGCTGTAGACATGAGATCCTTTATCCAATTGCACAAAGGCTTTTTCATACTCTTAGAACAAGAGTAGGTATTGGCCATTTTATTCTCAATGGAAAAGGTGCCTGACTTACACAGGGTGGGAAATTAAGGAGTCTTTCATGGGCATTCTGGAAGGAGAATAGGCTAAGTGATACAGTACCTTTCTTATACCTACCTTTTAGTATGTTCACTGCATGAAATAGAAAACATTTGGATCAATTTGTTACTGTCATTCATTATTCTGGTCAGATGTAAGACGTGTAGAGGCTTTTTTCTTTCAGAAAATACTTTTTTAATGTTTCAGGTGTTAATGGGGTTATCTTTCCCAACTCCAGAATTTTTTTCTGAAAAATCATTCTATCTACTTAATACCATTCAAGCCCCAAAAGAATACTTAAACCCAAAATTTTGAGAAAGGCTACGTCTACTTTAAAAGTTGTGTATAATGCTGCCTGAAAACTTACACCATTTATTCATGAGGCATCAGATCCTAAAGTAAAAAGGACAGGGAGTGACTAACAAGCTGTGAGACATAATACCAGTTACAGCAGTAAATAAAAATATTGTACTTTTCATTGTTAGAATAACGAAAGCAAATATTTCCAAATGTGAACAAATCAAGAGATTACTAAAATGAAAAGAGATTGTTTGACTTAATATAACATTTTAAATTTAGAATTCCTCTTAAATAGAATTTTTTAGTTTATACTTCATATTTAATGTGCTTTTTATTATTGCTTAATCTGGAATACGTGTTGCCGGGTACGTTTGATCCTTGTCTAACTTTCCCTCTAGATGCATGCACATTCTTTAGAGTACTTGGAGTATTTGGTCATGAAGCACTGAATCCCACTGATGAATTTTTTTTTTAATGAACCTCAGCTTGTTTCCTCTTGTCTACATTTTGTAAAAAGTATGTTAAACTCTGTTTAAAAAAATGCATACAATTCTGCCAGTAACAGTAATAACAGTCCAATCTGAAAGTTTAGTACTTTCAACGTATAATGTGGCAATTTGGAGCTGGCTGTTGATAGTTTGCTTAATAATAAAGGAAAATAAGTCAAAGTTTTAAGCAATAGTCAACTTACCTCTTAAAGTCTGCAAGAAGTATTCTTCTAAGTCTTTCTCATTTATAACTTTCCCTCTATATTGGTGGTGTTGATCTTGATTAAAAGGCTTTTTAATCCAAGCTAGTTCACTTGGGAGGTCAGGCAGATTGATTTCCATGGTGCTGAAAAGACAGATGCTAAGCATAAAACTTGGGTATTAAAATAAATAGTCCTTGTGTGGTGAGGGGGGGTTGTTTTGGGGTGTTTTTTGTCTTGCTTCTTATTCCTGTCCAAGGGTAAGAGTTAGTAAAACAACAAAAAAAAATTTTTTTGGTGACATTTATATTTCTAAGTGGAAAGCTCTGTTATAAAATGCTGTCTTCTGGGCTTCTTGTATTATCATTAATTAAACAAACTTGTGTTCAGAACAGCAAAAGCAAAATGAGTTGCATTATTTCAAGTGGCTTTTAAAATTCTTTGAAAGAGCTCCAGACTGGTTTCAGAACAGGGCATCTTTACTGGTAAAGAAAGTCTCTCATTATCACCTTTGTTCCCGGCTGGCAGTGCATTAAGTATAACATATCTCTGCGATTGCTGAAGCTGAATGGCTTTCCAGCAAGCACATTAACCCAGTGGTTTAGTCTGAGATAAGAAAGGAGCCTGGTCTTGATACCTTTATAGCAGAAGCAGCAATGCAAGCTAGGGGGAGGGGAGCAACCATTGAAAGCTGTTAAGAAGTTCTAAAAATACTTTGTTTGACCTGAAAGATGGCACTCTAAATGGAAGGGGGTTTCCACTCTGGTTCAGTGTTACAAAGTAGTAATCCCTCTCATTCCACACTATCCTTGTCAGATGGCAGTTTGTTAAAGTGCTTGTGATCATGGATGCTATTTGCCACCTGCTGAATTACTCCAATGCAACTGCTCCTGGGACGGTGCTGTGAACTGTATTTGTGAAGTGGCCTTAGATACTCAAAACAATGAGAGAGGCATTTTTTTATTAATTCCAACAACTTATAAATCGATGTGGCAGGCTAATATTTAAATTGAGGAAAATATGAATAGTGAAGTAAACTGCCTAAGGCAAGAGGGTGATGGTGTCTGGAATCTCTGAAACTGGCAGTGCTGATGAGTCCCATGTACACTTCTGACGTAGCATTATCAGGCTACAGTTTCATGAGTGTTCTAGCAATTTTGCCTTAGTGTGCTGCCCCCAGCTTCTTGTTTCTGCCCCCTCCCTTGTGCTGGATGGCATGTTTGTGAAGCTGCTGCGCAAACAGTATCAAGGAACTGGTCCGGACTAAAATGTATCCAGCTGATGTAAGGGAGAGGGGTGAACTGGGGTAGAATGAGCTAACGGTAAAGTTGGGGGAACGAGTGGTGCCACTGCTGCTTTCTCCTTACTTAAAATGAAAACTGAAGTGAAACTACAGCTTTGGGGTGCAGCTTTGTTTTATGTTGCCAAAGAGTGAAGCCTCTGTCTCACTGTGGCACTTTGCTAACCCCACTCTTAATTCAGATCTGCAAACCGGGTAGCAGTGGAGCAGTAAGCTGACTGCCCCATGAAGCAATGGGAGCACAATGTAGAAGAGATCAAGACCTTCCTTTTGGTGTGATTGAACTGTTAGGCTTGAGCAGGGAGACCTCTATAATGCTTTTGTTTTCCCATAGCAATTTCAATCAAGTTTTAATGATTCATCCAGTCAAGTTTGGAGAGAAGTTGAGTGTTTAGATAAATATTTGTGGGTCTATGTTTCTAATAAAAATTACATAGGTCAGAGAAGAACGTAGATTAAGATAATTGATGACTTCTTTTAATTTTATGAAACATGATTTGTCTGTGATATGGGTTACTCATGACTTCATGTGTGGCAAAATATAGTGTGAATCCAACTGAAGGATACTGCTGCTGATGATTACAAACTGCTTCTATGTGATTACTAAAGATGCTGCCCAGCATTCAGTGTAGAAAAACTGGATGGAAAGCATTGAACTAGGTGGAAAAATGAGTCCTGCTTCTGTCAGATGAAACTCTTTAAAAGAACTGCAGTGGAAAGATATGGCATTAGACATATTAGCACTCAGCTAGTGTTTATGCTGGGTATAGTAAAAAGATCAGATTTGAAAAGGACTGTCAGTGCCAACTCTTTTTAATAAAAGGGTTTTCACAGCTAAAGTTGCATGCATGGAAGAAATATATCAAATATAGTAATGCAGTTGGGACACAGACATGCTTCTGGGGCAAGGGAGCTGAACTGATAGTAGAAATTGAGTCCTCTTTTGAAAAGAGGAAGGTAAACATTCCAGGCTGTTGGACCATATCTAAGTTAATACCTAAGTTTACTTGTTCATAATCTGCTTTACATCTTTGTAATACTGTTAATGTTTTGCAGTGACTCCCTATGATTGCTTGCCAGTAGTACAAAGTGGAAAAAAGTCTGATACTCTGTACACCAAACTAAGATTTGGATCTACTTCTGGTCTTGTGTAGGCCTGTTTCTGGCAGAATTGAGTGTGACTTTTATCATTTGTCCCGTTAAGATATCATTATAGGTTCCTTATCTTCATTTCTTCAGCAAGTATGCTTTTGAAGAAGCTTTCTTCTCCTGGCAGTTTGTCTGATAATGAAGTCAGGGAAGGGAAAGAGGTTTTCTTCAGTGTTAAAATATGCTACATGACTAAACTAGCAGCTCAAACTGGAAACATTTTCAGGTTTCTATGCAGTAGATAATCCAGTTGTATTAAACTGTAAATATTTCGTAAGCATTGACTACATGTATGAAACACTTGTTTTATTGGCTTATGTCTTCTGTAAGAAGAGAGTTCCTTAAATTATGTTGTACTGGTTTTTTTTGTTCATGACTTGAAAAGCTTTGTTGTCTATTACTTAAGCTGTAACTTCTAAAGAAACAAACACCGAAATGAATATAGCTGGTTATTTAATAAAAAAAGAAGCAAAGTAGAACTTCAGTTTGTCTTAAGATGTTGTTACAGAAATGAGGTATGGGCGTGACTTTTTGAGGGTTTTGGTCCCAACACGGTATGCCTAGGCTAACTGGAAGATCTAGAAAAAAAGTTTGGTAAACATTTGCCTTCTTTGCCATGGCTTGAAATAATTTTGAGTGGGCTTTAGTTGAGATTTTGTTGAGTGTTTTGAGGAGGAAAAAAAAAAAGTGGTGGGGGTGGGGAAGGATTTAACTTTGAAATAAAAATCTACATCTGGCTGGAAAAGGTTATATATTCTTAGAGGTTTTCTTTTAAACGTTCCTTCACTTTAAGTCATATTTTTATAATCAGTAATTTCAATTTCATAAAAACATTGGCACAAACTGCAGTATGAAGATGAGCTTTAAAAGGCTAAAAGTATCTTTTCAGAAAAAAAATGTAACGTATGTAAAGTGTCCAGTTGCCTTTGATGTACTTGCACACAATGCATTGACAGGCTTCATAGGTGAACCAAGCTTTAAAATAACCTTCTTAGTGGGTTGGATTAAATACAGTTCTGAAGAGAGTTCTGCAGACTTGTGTTTGCACAACTGTGGGGACAGTGAGGAGATGTGTGTGTGTGTGGGGGGGTAAAAATGGCTTCTCTGAAGTGGGATGGCTGATGAAGAAATACTACATGGCACTGCTGACAAAGTTTCTCCCTCTGATGGGAGTATCTTTCCGCTCAGTGATCAGGCTCTAACTAAGTGGAATTTTACTTATTCTGAAAGCCAGAATGGGGCTTAGTGTCTTGCTGAGCTGGAATCCTTTTGCCCTCACTGTTTTGTCCTTGGTACCTTCAAAGGGTAGGGTTCGCTATGAATCGAGTTTTAGGCTGCTACATGAATGTGATAGTATGATGGGAACTTTGGTACTGCTTCCTTCCTATACAATTACTTTTCTTGCAAAAAGAATTTGGGGAGGGAACCTTCCAGAGAGCCTCTGACTGAACCATCATACTGTAATTCCAACTTTAGTATTTTTGTTGTACTTCAAAAATGGACAAATTCATAAATGAGCATTTAAAAATATGGATAGTCTTTAGCCTCATTTAAATGATGAAGTCAGTAATTCAAAACAGAAGGCCACAACTGTAGTGAGAAGGTATCTGGTAGTTAAAACTTCATTTCCCTGCCACTTTTAATTACAAACAATATCAATATCTCCTGATTCTTTTATTTATTCTGCCTCAAGTTGTATTTGTGTTTGCACGTGTGTTATTTCTGATTACTTTGTAAATAGTACTCAGTCACACATAGAATACTTGAGTGTAAATTAATGGCAATTCTTATCTTGCAGATCTAATGGGCTGCTGGTACTTTGCTTTTTTCATATTGATTTTTTTTTTTTTAAACCTTTGTCTTACGCTTGCCTTTTTTTTTTCTTATTTTCAAGTGTCAATTTACAGTATCTGGTTTTACGACAAGAATGACTGTCATCGAATAGCAAAACTCATGGCTAAGTAAGTACTGTGATCTTACTATTCTGTAATTCTTTTATGCAATACAGAGAAAAAAATGAACCTATTAAACATGTTTGGTTTTTTTCTCACTCTCCTTAAATAGAAAAATACAATGTTCTTGCTGGTACTTTTTTTTTTTAGTAATCAAGATATTGGTTTTTTAAATACTAGAGCATTAAAATTTTCAGTTAAGTGGTAAAGAAATTAGTTGAAGTACTAGTTGGCATTCTCCAAAGAAAGCAAGTATGAACACTGTTTATTTTGTGTTGGGATGCTGGCAGAAGATCCTCTGATGCAGAAAGTATAATTAAATGAAGGCCGCTTTTGGTTTTGTTGGTTTTGTGGCTTGTTTGGTGGTGGGCTGCTTTTTGTTTGGGTTTTGGTGTTTGTGGGGTCTTTTTGGTTTTCTTGTTTTTGTTTTTGTTTTTGTTTTTTTTTAAGGCTTAATTTTATTCCTGACTAAAGCCAAAGAGATTGGAGATTAGTGGGAGAAGTAAGTGGAATCTTAAAGAATTAAAGTGACATTAGGAGAGTAAGAAAAACTATGAAATAATAGGAGCTTGTTGCTAATTTCTGGTTTGTTTGATTTTTTTTTTCTTAATTTTTTTCCCCCTTTGTAGATAAAGTAGGTTTATAAGGCTGCCACATCACTTGCTCTTATTTTGTAGTTCCTGGTGCTCCTAGAGGTGTCATGCAGCAGGAGAATTTCTGAAGTGATCTCGATTTTAAAAAAACCCTTAAAAGACTGTGTTTGCAATGACACGGTTTTGTTAGTTGGTTTCAGCTGCTATCACTGCAGCAGTGCGGTTAGCCGATCTGTACGGTACATGGCTGCCCTGCAACAGCCGAGGAGGGCTTCAGACTAGAGTACAGAAGTGTGAGTGAACAGCGGAGGTCAAAGAAGACTGGAACTGGTTGAGTTGGCAATGTGGCATAAAGTCTTTAAAGCATGTTGTGATTGGAGGATATTGCACCTTTATGCTCCTTCAGGTGAGGTGCCTTGCAGATTAAGCCAAGGCTTTTTAACTAATAGAAAAGGATGAGAAGTAACTTCAGTCTTCAGTGTTCTTATGAAAGGAAGGAACTTGAAGTGTGTGACAGGGTAGTTACACTAGCAAAAATATAAAATTGCAAAATGCAGATGCACTGTATAGGATGTCTTCTAATCCCTTGTTCTCTGCCTTGCTGTTTACCATCATGCTCTACTTTCCTGAACTTTCTTTTCTATTGCATGCCTTAATCAGCATGTCATGTCTTGCAAGTCAGGACATCTTGAAGACTGGCAAAACTTAATTATATGGAAACTAGTCATAGTGTAGACATTTTAAGCTGAACTCTATTCTCTCGTTCTGGGGTTGTTGCTTTGGGCTATTTTGGTTTTTTTCCCCACAGAAGCAATGTAAGACAACACAAATGATAGACTTTGATATCAAGCTGTTTTTCTAAATTCTTGTTGTTTTTTTCTCATCCTGATAACCCTATACGGTTCCCATTCTCCCCCCCCCCTTTTTTTTTTTGGGGGGGGGGGGGCACAACAGACAGGACATCACTTTAAAAAAATCTTCACTTAGACACCTATCCACTGTAATCAGGTAACAGGCCAGTCTAGCCATGGCTCAGCAGTCCATAAAGCATGCCTACCCTTTTTTCTGGATTCTGTAGTATTCTGGAAATAACTGTAACCCAGTAGGTTCATTTAAAGTCTGTCTGGGAATGATCTATGCTTTATTGTCATCACCTTTGTAAATTACTGTAGCCTGCCTTTTTTTTTTTTCTTGGGGTCCCTGATGCCTGTATTGCAGCTTTATTAACACAGAGAGGCAGAAGTGCCAAAGTTGGCGTTGCTTCGCCCATGTTTATGATGCAGATACTCATGCGTTCGTGTAACTGTAGCATCTTGGCACCCTAGAAAGTTTCTGAGACTACAAATTATTTTGGAAGATCAAAAAGATGAAATGTATTTTTAAACTGTTAGAATTTTTTATGGTAGGTGTTGGAAGGATTGTGGATTAAAAGTATCTTTGAAACTGACATGCATCAAGCAGGCTTTGGGGAGCGTGTATTGAGCTTTGCAACTTCAGACTCATGCACATCAAACTAGAGAAATCAAATGTGTGCATAAGAAAGATTTATTGATTGGATATTGACAGAATACAGACAGTTAAATTTTGCTGAGCTGGCTAGGACCTCACTTTAGTATGATTTTTAGTCTTTGCTGCCATTAACTTGGTAAAAAAAGCTATAAGTGATCTTTCATAGCCTAAGTACTGCTAGTAATAACTCTTTTGTTAGGAGTGCTTTTTCATAATGCTTTTCTTCAATATTAGATTATGGAATGTCTGAATACTTCTAGTTCTTTTTTTCCTTTAAAACTGTGTTTTGGTTTGGGGGTAACAAAAGTATTTGCAGAAGCCGTTTTTATACTGAGAAAGGTATTTAGTGTAAGTATATTTACCCTTATTTGTTGAAAAAGCACTGTAGAATTAAATCACACTTCATTTGGTACCACATGCCTCGTAGCTTCTGAGTATCTAAAGATTCATATTGGGGAAAATGAAATGAAGGCATTCTAGTTGCACATTACGGTAGCTGTACTTCTGAGGCTGTTACAAACTTGATGAGAAATGGATTGATACTATTTTGCTGACATCCATTTCCATAAGCATGCAGCTTTCTGTTCCCCAAAATGGGTAGAAGGCAGTCAGAAGAACAGTAAAAATGCTGATACTTCTGCATGCTTCTCTACAAGGAGGAGGCTGAAACTGCAGGAATTATTTCATCCTGGCTTGAAAGATGGATTTAAGAAAATTTAAAACATACTTTCTAATTTAAAATACAAAATAAAATTGCATCTTAGAGAAGGAAAGCTGCATTTCAGTGCATGGTAGCAGACACCATGAGGCTGAGCTCAGTATATTTTCAAATAAATATTTGTGTTGTCTTCCCAGAGTATTACTTTTGTTCCACAGTTTTTGTTTTTGTCTTGGGTGGAAATTTGGTGGGGGGTTTTGTTTCACTGATATGAAAGAGTACTGCCTTTATAGTACCTCAGAGCTTCAAAAACATAACCATAAAAGGTTCAAGGAGATTTGCATTCTCTTTCCTGCTGTTTGACTTGACCTTATTGTGCCAGACTCAGTTAACAAGATTGCAGGCCATCCATTTATATTTTGGTGGCTTATCTTTCAAAAGAAAAGTAAATTAGTGTTTGTGGGCTTTGTAATCACAGACTTCACTTGTCACATTCTCTCTCTCCCTGCTTCCCACCCTCCCTTCTGTGAGGTTGTGCCAGGTATATATTCAATGCTATAACTGCAGATATTCTTAAGCAGACTGTCACAGCAGCTACTCTGTCCCCAAAGGAATGTGTGCCTCTTCCACTATCTGATATAATGGAAAGAAACAGCAGGCCTTGCTTAAAAAAGATTTAATCCTGAATTGCATACAGAGCATGCTCGGTGCACAGATTTGCATTAGTTGACTTTTTTCCCCAGCAAAGGTATTTGATTTACAGAACTTCTGGGTTTTGTTTTGGTTTTGGTTTTGTTTTTTGTTTTTTGTTTTTTTTTTAAAGAATTCTAGAATTTTCTGAAAGGAAAAAAATTTATAGGAGTCATCAAACTGCTAATTTTAGAAGGAATTAATTTGGGTCAAGTTAAGTCAAGATGATTGTTTGTGAGGGATGAGCTTTCTAGAAGTAGGACAGAAACTAGGGTTTTTCAAATCTTTGTGAAACTACTGCATTCTGATATGTAAATTGGGGGTGTGTGTGTGTGTGTGTGTGTATTTTTAGTGTAAGTTATGGGCTTGTTTTGCTCTGTTTAAACAGTCAGACCCAAACTGGCTTCTGAGATGCAGGCAGCAAGCTAGAGATGAGAGAGTATCTCGGAGAGTTTTGGGAGTATGCTGCTTCACAGTTAGCCCATCAGCACCATCTGAAAGTAACCTGCACACAGAAGATGGAGGAAGAGCTATTAGAGATTTATCTACATGAGAAGATAACTTAATTGTTATGCTTAAAAAAAAAAAGTAACCTTTAAAAAGGTAACAAATAATTCATAATGGACAGTAGAAAAAGACTATGAAGTATTTTTCAGAAATCTTTGTGAGACATTTCTGTGAAATTGATGTACTTCTTGAAGATGTTTTGCTATGACACGCATTAGTACTATTTTAATGGGAAGATGTTTTGGTGAAACCTTCTCGACCAACTAGTTAAGAGCAGAAGAAGGGTTTCAAAACTGAGGCCTTTGCTTTACCTATCAGGCAGCACATGCATAACTTCAGCTGTCTAGAATTTTCCCTTAACTAAGTACTTACTTTTTCTGATACAATTATGCTGACACTTAAAATCTCAGCAGAGTATGCTGATTCTCTTACCTTGCCCTTTCTCATCCCTGGTTTTGGAGTTGAGTTTAGACAAGTCCTAAGTCAGGACTGTATGACCATGTGGGGTGCTAGAACAAAATGTTCTCTCGGGGTGTCACCATAGAAACATTTGCACAGTATTGAGCTGCTTCATCCAAATGAGCACATGCTGCAGTTCTTAGAAATTGTCAGACAGTGTGGAGATCAGCCTCCCTATTCTGAGTTACGTTTGCAGGTGAATGCTTGCTTACAAATGGAGAAAGCTATACTGATAATGAGAAGCTGGTTAAATAAGCAGCTTGTATGATTAAAAATTTTCAAAATAATTTTGAAAGCAGCACTAAGTTATTAAAAGCCAAATCTAACCCTTCTTCAAACAAACACAGCTAAACTCTAGTGAAGTAAAGGCTTGGTTGCTAGAAAACTGGTAAGAAACTTCTAAGATTTGGACCATTTTTTTTCTCAGAAATGGTGACATAGAGGTGCATATAAATATCTAATTACTCTACAGTCCATAAAATCTAGAGTTACTCCTGAATCCTAACTGACCCAAAGAAACTGGAGGCTGGAATGATTGACGCTTTCTGTGATTGTTATGATGGCACCTCTTAGCTTCCCCATCAGCCATCAGTTCCACAGCATGAGAGTCTCAAATGACGTGCCAGCTCCAGAGCTCTGCCCTGTTTACAGTGCTTGTTTTTTCTTAACATATTTGATTAATGCAGGCTTAAAAAAGAAGGGATTACAGGCTGGTGTGTGTTTATTTCAAGAGGATAAGCTTTAGTGCATTGCACAGCCATGTATATCTTGTGAACTGCATATGGATTAGGAGTAGGAATATACGCTGCCTTTACTTTTATTAATGAAATGTACCAGGTACACATCATCTTCTTGCATATCTTGACCATCTTTTAAACTGAAATTTTTTGATACTTGAGGCAGGTAGGGGTGGAGTAGAAGTGGTGAATGAACCATAGGCACCAAAGGCTGGAGGGAAAGAAGTGTTTGTAGACCTGGAGGTAATTGGAATGACTACAGGGCAGCT